AGTGTGGGCACTCAGGGCACTCCAAGCCAGGACTGCTTTGCAAGCGGGGAACCCTGAGAACTGTCTGTCCGGGGTGGGGGTCGGGTCCCTTTAAGCACAGTGCTCGGCTAGCCTGAGACAGCAGCTCCACGCTCTAAGTCCTCCTCTGATGCCCTGCCAGCACTGCTTCCGGCCAGCCTTAACCCCGGTTCAGGGTCCACTCAATGTGGACATGCTAGTTCGAATTAGCAAAATGCTCATTCGAACTAGTTTTTAGGTCTAGATGCACCAGTTCGAATTAGGTCTCCCCTCCTCACTGGGCTGGGCTCGTTGCTGGATGGGGGTACCTGTGCTGTGCTCCTGGGGCAGGCAGTTGAAGCTTTAGTGGGGTGCGCCCCCCCAATGCTGCCATGCGTAGGCCCACACTGCCCTCTGCTGGGCAAGGTTGGGAAGGCATCTCCTGAGGGACCCCCCCAAGAGGCAGGAATCAGATGGAGCAGCTACCAAAGGGTGAGAGCAGTGGTCACCAACCAGTCGATCCGCCCTGCTGCTCCCTAGGAGCCTCCTGCTTGTTGTGCAGGGTGGGGGAGACCGAGGCTGGGGATGCTGATGTCACTCTGTCCCCCTCCCCTGTACCCCGTCTTCTCAGAATGAGGAGGGCGGGGCTTTGGCAAAGGGGCGGGGCAGAGGTATTTGAGTTTGAGGTAGAGCCTGAACTGACTTAAATTCAAAAAGTGATCTTGTGCTTAAAAACATTGGAGACCACTTGGTTAGGGATTTTCCCCTGGTCGGGACGATAACGCACCACTGGAGGCTGTTTCTCCGGAGCAGACCCACCCCTAAACCAGAGATCCCACCGCTCCTCCACATCTCCCCCCACCTCCCATGCAGACAGGATTCTCCAAACTCCTCCCCTCCACTAGCCCAGGAATGAGCCCCCCAGCCTTGCCCAGTGGAGAGAGCAGCATGAGCAGCCCCACAGTGAACGGCCCGCAGCATGGGCAGCGCCTCCATCGGGTTTCAGCTGGTTCTGATCCAGGATCCATTTGATCCCCTGAATTCCAGGGCAATCTGATTGGGTGGAAGCTCCCACTTTTGGCCCATCTCCTGGTGGAAAACCCTCCCTTTGGGTATCCGGAGGGTTGAGGGAACCTGGGAATGAGCCCATGGCAAGGGGAGCCCAGGTGTGTGTCCCCAAGAGCCTCATCGCCCTGGGGGGCAGTCCCGGCTCGGGTACCGACAGAGCCAGCTGGGAAACGGCAAGGCCTACGTTACCTCCTATATTCCATCTAAACTTTTCCATCCATGTGCAGAATAATTTGTATGTGCACTAAGGTCTGTACGAATGTGCACTACTAGCAGAAACCAAACACCTAGCAGCGGGTGCTCTGCTGATCAGCTGGGCAGCATCTGAATTTCTCCTGAGTGGCCGCACCAGCACCCAGCTTACAGGGAACGCTGGTCACTTCTCCAGCACCCTTCTCCCTCGCGCTCTGGAGGGTGGAAATACACGGGCAAGCTGGCCCTTTAAATCCGCTCTCTCCACAGGGCCCCACTCCAAGAACCTTCTCCGCAGGAACTGCGACCTCCAGCATCTTCCCATGCCGTCACCATGGGAACCACTCTCACACAGGCACCCCTCCTGGGGGGCAGGCCCCAGGGCCCCTCCTTCCAGCTGTTTATGCCCTTGCCCTTCACTCATGGGGGAGGGCAGCTGGAGAGGCGTACGCCACACCCAGCAGAGCAGACTTTTAGGGCCCCCCCAAACAGTGTAGGTATCAGTCCAGGCAAGAGCTAACATCCCCAGGCCCTGAGGCCTTGTCAACCCCCCTGCCCTGCCCTGGGGGTGACGCCCTCGCCCCAGCCGCAGATCCGGCGGCTAGTGCGTCGTCTCAGAGTCAGCCCCACTGCCAGCATTACCACCCCCTAGCTCCATGGATGCTGGTGATACCCAGGGGCCTGCCCAGAGGCAGCTAGTGGGTTCCAGACAGGGACCCCCCCCGCTACTAAGAATCTGGCCCCGGCCTGCTGATCCTGCCCCTCCAACCATCCATCTCGCAGGGACTCAGCTGTTTCATTATTTAATGTCTGTTCCAGGCCCCCTCCCCTGGGGGGTTGCCATGGAGACCATGTTGCTTCCCGGCTCAGAGATGTTTCTGGGCTACTGGATGGAGGGGGGGGACGCAGAGTGATAGTGGCTGAGAGGGAGGTAACAGGAAAGCGGGGGGGAGGGAGCAAGATTGCAGGAGCTACCCAGCAGTCAGCTCCACCCCGCTGGCAGGACAGCCAGCCCCCCTCCTTGCCCTGGAGGGGCAGCAAGGCAGCTAAGAGCTTCCCTGGGGAGCTGCGTCTGGGACAGGGGGTGGGGCGAAAACCAGCGCTGGTCCAGTCCCAGCCTCTGCCTGCTGGGGGCGCTGCGGGGACCCCGCGCTGCTTTAAAGGAGCATTCCGTGGCCAAAGTTATGGCCACACTTTGCCATGGGCGGGCAGCTCTGATCTGGGGCTCCCCCTGGGTGCCCAACCCCTTCGGCTAGAGACCTGGGGACAGAGCACCAATGGGGCGGTGCCGTTCGTGTGACCCCAGCTCCAACACCCACCAACCCGCCCCTCTTTCCAGCACTAATCAGCCCCCGATTCCGCCAGGGAGTCACCTCCCGCTGCCAAGGCTCGATCACAACACAGAGGGGAACTCGCCCCACGCTGGGCCCATCCCCCCCACCCCAGGGTGACTCAGTGCACAACCAGGTGCAAAAAAAAAAACAGGTGTGGGGTGGGGGGGGGGGGGGGGGGGAGGCAAATTCTCTGCCTTGAAGCTTTAAACTTCTCTGCGCCCTGACAGCCTCGAGAGGCACACTCCGCGCTTCCAAGGCTGATGAGCCCACCTCCCTCTCTCCCACGGGAACTTGACGTTGGTTCTTTCTTGTTGCGTTCCTCCTGCTTTAGACCAATGGTGGGCAACCCGTGGCCCATGGGGGTTCTAGACATTTTGTGGACCGCTGCCCACCCACAGGGTGGCCAGATGACGCCGGTTTCCGTGCTGTTTTTTTCCTCCCGCTATTACTACAGTGACATGCACGTAAACCCAGGACACGCAAAGGGAGGTGTGTGCCTCACTTGTGCGTGCCACCTGCCCTGCTCTGCCCCCCTTGGGCAGGGGGCTGGACTTGGTGACCTCCTGAGGTCTCTTCCAGCTCCATGATTACCTCTAGTTCCAACACTCCCCGCTGCAGAATCAACGGTGCAAAGCAAACCTCATGGAGAAGGAACCCCGGGGCTCCGTTCCCCCTCCCAAACATGGGATGCTGAGGCCACGGGAAGGCCCCCACCCCTGCTGTCCTTACCTGTCTGACGAAGCTGTTGGACGTTGTGTCCGAAGAAGTGCTGCCATCGGAGCGTTTGAACCTGCTCTTCCGCTTGCTGTACTTGCCCTGGGAGAGGGAGAAACTGGTTAATGAGCGTGCAGGAGCTTACAGAGAAGTGGGAGCGGACCCGTGCATGGCATACCAGAAATCTGCAGAACTCCCCGCTGCAGGACGCTGCCAAGGCTCCTGGAGGAGTTACCCTGACATCTGCTTTGCCCCACCTTCCATCTGAGAATCTCCAAATATTTGACAGGCACAAATGAATCAAGTCATCCCTCTCCTGCCCTGGGGAGGTGAGCGAGTAGCATTATCCCTGATGGACAGCTGGCAGGAAATCGAAGCACCAAAAGGAGAAATGCTTTACTCATGGCCACACAGTAAGTCAGTGGGACAGCGGAAAGCAGAGCTCAGGAGCCCTGCCTAACTGAGCCTACAAACTGTTTCTAGGACCACACTAGACATCCGCATGGCTGAGAAGAGGATGAGCTGCTAGAATATGGGCAGCAAGCCTCACGCTTCAGGGCGTTGGCTGGTCAGTTCCTGAGGCCAGGAAGGAATCTCTCCATTCCCTAAGGAGGGGCTTTCCCTGTGGCTGGTGGCGGCGGAGGGGAGGGGGACAGGCACCCAGATCCTGGATTACATTTTCCAGTGGGCTCAGAGGGGCTATTCTTCTGTGATAATCCCTACAAGCCAGCATGGACTGCAGACACGTTAGGTCCACATCCCCCTCTCGATACTCCCTGGGGACTGCTGAGTCTCCCACAACAGGGCCAGAGACCCCCCAATGTCCCTGGCCCTTTCCCTGGCCCTTGCCCAGAGCCCTGGGGGGTGCAGAAGCAGCGCTGGAGGGAGGGGTCACGCTACGACTCTCCTCTGCCGGGGGAAGCAGCTGGCTCCGAATGCTGCATGGTCACCTGATGCGGGTGCCAATCAATACGCCGCTCCCGAGCTCTCATCGCCGTGCTGGGTTCCCAACCAATCTGGCCCCGCGCCACAGCCAGCCTCGAGTCCCCAGGGAGCTAGCGGCAGCGCCAGCCACGTCAGCCCACCCCGCTGGACACTGGGGGCGTGCGCCGGGCGAGGGACAGCGGCCCTGGGTCGGGGGCTTTATTCCAGCTGCTGTCGGCTCCACCTCCCCATCCCCAGCGCACCGGGTCTGGACAACCACAGATCACATGGCACATCCGAAGGGTGGGGTCGACAGCTCCATCCTCAGCTAGCAGAAGGGGAAACCAAGGTACAGAAGAGGCTGGCGTATCACAGGCACTAGTGGGGGACCACACCCGGAGAGCGGCTTTGCCGCCCCGTGTCGACAGGCAGGGCGAGGGCCCTGCCCACACGTCCCCATGGGTGCAGGGCCGGGGCCCAGCTCCGGACAGATGTCGGGGGGGGCTGAACTGTGCTCTCCTGTGAGCTGCCCTCCCACTACTCCTTCCTGTGCCCAGGGAAGGGTGGGGCTCGCTCTGTGTACGTGGGCTGTGATCCTGTCGCATCCTCTGAGCCTAAGGTGACTGGCGAGGGAGGCAGCAGTGCCTGGAATTAAATTAGCCCCGTTGGTCATCACGGAGCAGGAGAGAGAGAATGTGGGGCTGGTTGGATTTGCCCTCCCTCCCTGCCCCACAACCAGGGCCCCAGAGATCACCCAAGAGCCGGCCCATCTGCGCCAGGGGCAAGGTGGGATCCACAAAGGCAGAGACTGAGACGACGGAAAGGGTTCCGGTTCCAGCCTCATGGACCTCCAGAGGAGGCCCCATGCTACCAAAGAGGTGGATGGGGCAGGAGGCTGTGATTCCACCCCACCCCGTACAACAAGAGTTGTGTATACCCCAAGCCGTGTGCGCACACTCCTCTCCGTGCAAGAAAGCCGTACACATTCATGCCCCTGCGTCCATGTCACAGCCGCCTATAAACACACAAAACAGCCCTGCTTCCATGCAATGAGCTGCATACACACACGCCGAGCTGTACACACCCAACTACTACACACACGCTCATCCCCATGTAATTAGAGCTTACTACCGACCCGATTTACTACACACGCTCCTACCACCTCCCTAGTGGCACATGCGCTCCCCTCCACGCCTTCCCCTCAGTGCGCAGGCTCGGATGCTCTCCTTCCTCACACCCACGCAGGCCCCAGCAGCCAGGCAAATGCACACGCGTAGGGAGCCAGCGAACACACCTGCTGCCACTGAGTCATCCCCTGACCAACAGCGCCTGGCAAATGCTCCAAATACCCAGCTGGTGGCACAGACTTAGAAGGAGCCAGCAGCTGAGAGCTGTCCCACAGCCAGCGCGCTTGCCCCATCCTCTACAGCGCCTCCTGCTGGGGGAGGCTGGGGCTGGCAAGATTTCCACCCCACCCGCAGCCAGCCCTCCCTGCAGAATTGTGGCTGGACCCCTCCGCAGCTGTCTCGGAGGGCCCAATCCTGCTCCCCCTCCCCGTCCTCGCCCTGGGACGTCAGTCCCTTCCCAGCTGGTTCCTCCTGAAACTCCCAGTGAGCGCGAGGCCTTTCTGCACAGGGCAAGCAGCCGGGACGTGTTGGGGCAGGTCTCGGAATGAGCCATCTCAGAGGGACAGCTGGGCCCAGTTGCTGCCCAGCCCACAGACACGTGGTCCCTGCGCAGGGCAGGAGTTGGTATTTTTAGGATTCCTCCCCACCCCCATCGCTCCAATCAGGGTCCATCCATCAGTCACATTCCCTGCACCCGCGGTGGGTGGCTGGGATTCCCCATCCAGGGGGCTGGTGCAGGGTTTCGTCTGTAACGAAATAGCTGCAAGCCTGTTTTTTACATTCACAATGGAGCCTGCAAGCCCAGAGGCCTTGGAGCTACGAACCGCCAAGCCTAGAGAGGCCGAGGCTCAGCCCTGGCACAAGTTAAGCTCTTGACTGGTGGCCCTCCAGGTGGGGAAGGGTTAACCGGAGCCATGTCCTAAGCTGGTGGAGGCTGGGTTTGTGTTTCCCAGCCCTGTGGTCCATCCAGACATGGGTATCCCTTCCCCTTCTCCACCCTGCTAAGTAGCCCTGAGCAACAGATCCAACCAGCGACTGGTACCCCCAGCAGGCACTGGTATCCCAACCAGATACTGGTATCCCCAGCAGGCGACATCACAACAATGTATCTGTGCTGGTATCCCCACCTCCTCCTCCATCGGGCAGTGCTACACCAAACCCCACAGCGGGTTTCCAGCAGGGGTGAAGTACCCCTTTAGTATCCACTAGCAAGCAGAAGGGGAAATAAAGAGGCGTGGTGCCTCTGGATTGGATCTACCAAATTACCCCGTCTGCTCCAAAGTTTCCCGGCGCGAGCCCCAGAGGAGGCATAGCGGCACCCCGGGGGCCCCTCCGGGCCAGGACTGGCCCAGTCTCACAGACCCTTCAGCACTGTGACCCACATTTTCCAGACCACGGTGACACAGCAAACAAGGGCAGCTAGGTCCCCCGCAAGACCACCCGCTTCCACCCCTAGGACCCACCCACTCCCTTGCTCTTCTCCCTGCCGGTTTGGACACCCGCCACCCGTTTGGGGCTCACCTCCCTGGTGACCTCTGGGCACAGGATGGGGGGCACGTGGGGCCCCCGCTTTGCCTGGTGGGTGGCAGGGGGGGG